TAAACTAAGAGAGACATAGACAGGCATAATTCTGAAAGGAATACGGAGGATTTTATTTAGGTTCCGAATAAATTATTCGCGAATCAAAAAACGTTTGTTTTGACTGCATGTATATTATGTACGTTATCTTTCAGTAATTTATGACGGGAATGCTTATCGCTTATATTCGAAATGCCTGCGCAGTCGGCGTATATTTATAAATTTTTCGAGAGAGAACTAGCGATTGATCACTTCATGTGTAATAATGTAAGATATCGTTGGAAAGATAAATAGATTCTCGAAAATTTGGAATGTCTAAACTCGCAGGAAGGATAGACTTATCGAACGCCCGAGTGCCATAACCGAGTATCGATGGGAACGAGTCGTCGCGCAAGATAACCACACAGCGATCGATATTCCTGCCAATGTTATTTTAGTAACTAACGATGAATTATATCTATGTGGACGTAATCAAGAAAAGTAATGTATTACTTCAACGAGGTTCATATAAGACTTACGGATGTAATTATATATTTACATCAGTTTGAAAGGTTGAAATTATTGTTTAAAAAAATATCATTTTCACGTTGAATTGTCTTTAGCGTGAAATTCTTGGGAAAAGCGACATACTCAGGCGCTTCTCTTACAATTAGACAAGAGAAATTATCTACAGATCCTCTGGTCAAGTTGAATATCATTATATCCGTTTGAATCGTAACAACTTTCGAAATCGATCAATTCTCTGATTAATGACTTTATCTTATCTATCGTCAAGTGTTTATGATAGCCTAGCGATATTAGACGTGCAATGAATAAATTCGCACTAGTCACCTCAAGTGCAAAGAGAAAAAGGTTTTTTATTTGGTAAAAAAATCTGAAAAGATAAATTTAGATCGCAGCGCATCTCAGAGCAAGCGTTTTTACTCATTAAACAATATCTTCGCACAATAATATCACTAGCACCTTCATAATTTCACGAAAGACTAACGCGCGTTCTATAATTATTTGCACGAACGTTTATTACGAAAATACAATATACGTGGAAGCTTGTGAATGAAAGTTAACGATAAAAGATTGATAAATCCCTTTTTAGTGCTTGTTGTTTCTGTATGCACTCGCAGCCTTGAAAAATTCCGAGGGCCGCGTGCCGTTCTCGAGCCCGCTAGTTTTTCATTTCGCGAATTAGTTCCGTATCGGCGGAATGATCTGTCACGGTTCTCTCCCCGGATACGATACGGGGAGGGGGTGCAGGCGAGGAAGGCGGGCAAAAATTCTGGCGGACTCGCGCTCGCAACCCGCACGCCGCGGTGCCGTGCGACGAATTAATTAGTTCGATCGTGCGGCACGTCTTGAATGAAAAGCCGGGCGTTACATGCGCGCACGCCGGGGTTATTGCACGACGGCCGCTACGTGCCTCGCGTGAAATCGGACGTTATCGGACTAAATTAGCGCGATTCAATTCCGTCTTACGAAGTCGCGGGGCCGATTCGTCAAGCGACGCGTACTCGTTTCCGACGTGTCCGCTAATTCCGGAAGCGATCTTTTTACGCCTCCTTTTTTTTTTTTTTACGTCCGCGCGGTTCAGGTTCAGGTGCGATTGCCATTCGATGTGACAAATTGCAAATGAAATTGTAATGAATTTACAATGAAATAAACGGCTTGGAATCTGGAATATTTTCTTTAAGGAAATAGGGATTCAATTTTATTTTTTTTATAATTCTCTTCTAGTTTTTTTTTTTTTCTTCATAATCATCTTTCATAAAATATAATTTGCAATTCGTTCAACAGATTAAAAATAATTTATAACGAAGCTTGTAAAAATTCCGAATTGATTGTAATGTTTTCGTGTTTTGCTCGGCAATGTTTTTTTCCTTTCGACATATAGGATTATTACTTATAATACACCATGTAGAACGATCGTTCTTGATCGTTCAATACAGCAAACGGGTTGAAAGATTTGTCCACGCGTCCCGTCATTCCCCAATAAACCGACACTGGGTTACCCTTGCAACCCTTGAGATCTCACCCCTGGCAAATCTGCCCCGCACACGTACACATACGCGCACACACGCATGCGATAGTGACGTGTCTCGCCAGAGTCCCATGGCATCGATTCTCCAGAGACGAGAAACTCCAAGTTCTTTCCCGACACGATCGATCTTGGGACGGCATTTTCTCGCGCATGAAGAAAGAAAATCGCATCAAACTTTCTCTCGCATCTCAATCTAATTCATAATTATCTATTCATAATTATCTTTTTCATTAGTTTAAAACCTGTCAACTTTAATCGGTTATCGATAAACGTTTCTCATTTTATCCATTTATGTTAAACTTTTGTTTGAATTCAGTTTGCGTCTGTATCTATCCGTCTGTATATTTATCTATTATATAGATCGCAAAGTCAGACATTTATCTAATTTATATGCAGTTTTTAATGCTTTTTCGTGACGTGGTTCTCGGAAAGTCGGGAAGTCAAGCGATTTATCTTATCGATCGCGTCAAATAAAGATTCAAAGGAACCGTCTGATTTCCTGCTCGTTCGTCGAAGGCTACTTCTTTCCGAGAGCCTGACTTATCGAAACTTGCTCGAACGCGTTATTATTTATGATAAAAATAATTCTAGTTAAGTTAGTGATCAGTGAAGAGAAATTATCGTTCCCTTTCACGTCATCGTCCAACGCCGAATGTTTAACGTCGATATCACGATGACACCGCAAATCCGGTGGAAAATCACAGAAGTCCTTCCGCGATAGAAATTCGACAGAAATTGAATAAAGCAATGACGTATACACTTTTGTGATGTCAGTCAAGAAAGGAACAAATCCGTTTCTCAGTCACCAAGCACGCGTATGCTAACAGTTCGCGATAATTATCATTCTCGCATTATCGCGACGTTTTACGTTTACTCTGTCTTTCTCTCTCGCTTCTGCAACTAAGCGCGTTATAATTAGCATAGCGATTTTACAAGGTTACTAATACACGAAAGAAATCATGGCACGTGTATCACGAAGGTCGATATCTCGAGTCCGGGGGAAAGTCCGACTTCATTTCCGGATTGGTACCAGACAACAGATGATCTCTTGATCTCTTGTGATGATCTCTTGTATTCGATAGACTATTAACTTTTTTTTTTTTTTAAAGTACTACTTTGCTTTTCTTTTCATTAGAATTTCGGGATATTACATTAATGAGAACGTGTAACGTGCTAAACGTGTTGTAGTATCGATCGTGAGTCGAACGTCCCGAAATTCGTTACCGGAAGTGCGACGCGCCCGGACTCTCTCCTCCT